TTTTTTTTTTTTGGAAAGCTTCAATATGTATTATAAGAAAACAATGGGACGAGGCTGGGGACCTCACAATTCGACCCGGAGTTATCCTGGCAGCCTCAGCCGGTTTCTCTTACGAGCCCAAAGGCTCGAAGAACCACCCACTGCTCAAGATCTATCCATTCTACTGCTGGAAACCGGGTCCAGCGTCCCCTGTTAGATCCAAAAACTTTCCAAAATAAACCTTGAAGCTCTAGTAAAGGGGGCTGCGTTTGCAGTCAGCAATTAAAAAAATTGTGAGGCAAATCTATGAAAGGATAGTATCCTTGCTGCGCATGAAAACACCGGCATGTTTCTAAATTCGAAACACTATTGGTAAAAACTACGGGCTATAAACTGCAAATCTCCAAAATGCGCAAGGCAATTTTTTTTTTTGGCTATTATTCTTTTCAATTTTTTTTTTTGCCTTCTGCACATCTTTAGAAGGCTAAATCTTGCAACAACGTCTGTGAGAAAATTTTGGCAAATTTTCAAAAAACAAATGGGAAAATAAATAAGCATTTGTGGTCACCTCGGTTCCGATAGGCTCTAGCACACGGGTAGTGTAAAATGTCCGCACAAACCACATGTGAGACGACTGCGGGAAATCGCCTGACCGTTATTGCAGGAATATAGGATGGCAGCAAAACCATGATGGATTTATATTTCGAAGTCGTGTTTTTATTTTGTTCTTGTTCTTGTTCTTTTTTATTTGCAAAGAATGGGAGGCGGAAAAAAGAAATAGAAAGACTCATTTTGATTGGCCGCACTTCAAACGAGAAAAGAAAACTCAAGTACTCGAAGGGGTTGATATTGACCTAATTTTTCACCCCGGTCTATTGCAACCCCTTCGGGTACTTCATTTTTGACGCAGATTACTAGAATGTGCACAGCTCTTCACACTGCAGTATGGCAAACCGTCACTTTGGTCATCCCATCCGGCACACAAAGGGTCTTGGGGGCTCGTTAGACACTCCTCGGGGCGTCCTCGGGCTCCGAGGGGAAATCCTCGGGGCAGCCCGAGGATTTCCCCGCATTCGTGCCACTCATCCCTCGGGACGATCCCCGAGGATGCTCTGAGGACTGGCCGCGGCAAGTCGTATAATGTTATATGCGGCCGCGGGACGAGTGTTTGGGCGGTGGTCCTTCGTGCGGTGTCCGTCTGGCTGGACTTGGTCCACCGCGTATGGGCGGCGAATTTGAAAAGGGACTGCCGCCGCCGTGGGAAAAGGAAAATTGTGCGCGCGCGCGTGTGATTTCAAAATTCAAAATTTGCATCGGCCAAGCGTGGCGTCTGGTGCAGCGGGGCGGGGAGACGCGTGCGTGTGACCGCCCCATCGGGGAAGCACAGGGGTGTTGCAGTGGGCGTCATGCGGAAACGGCCAATGGTCGTTTGGGCATCAGCACAGACGTTGCCGCGTATTAGAAGACGTGACGCACCCTGGCTACGACAACAGCAGTGAGCGCCACCGCCGTCTTGCGTATTCGCTTTCGCGCATTCTGCCCCGAACGCCATCTCCGCGAACTTCTTCATTGCCAGTGTCCATTGGTGGCGGGCCGGCGGCCTTGTGTGGTCGTTTGGGCGACTTCTGGCGGCGTGGATGAGTGCGATGTCTTCCGTGGTCGATATGCTTTCGGTCGGTGGCGAGGATGAGCGCGGGCCAACGTTGTCCGCTTTGGAGAGGGCTGCAGTGACGTCCGCCGACGCCGCCGTCATCATGCATTGCGAGACGGAGGTCGAAGGCGAACGACGGTGCGCAGGGCTACGCGCTCAAAGAAGGAAGGCGATGCAGCCGCCGACGTGTGAAGGGTTGGATAGCGTCGCCATCTGTGACGCCGTCTTTGAGGTATGTTGCGCCCTGGGGTGTGGGGGACTGCCTAGGGCGACCCCGAGGTGGTGGGTGAAACGAAGGACGGGGGGGACCTGGGAGGATCTTCGGCCTGCAGACGACGCCAYTGAAGACTACTTCCRCGACAAATTACGGATGTCTCCACGTGTCTTCCGTGAGATCGTTGAGAACTTGACGCCGATTCTCGAGCGACGTGTGACGTTCTACAGAGAGCCTTTGCAGCCAGACCACATCGTCGCCTACGCGCTATACAGATGGGCATCTGGCGAGACACGAGAGTAGCACCTGCAGCTTTGGAATTGGCAGGGCTTCGGGTTTGGTGGCCGTCCGGGACGTCACAGCTACGCTGCTTTCGGTGTACAGGGAGAAGGTGGCGTGGCCGACTGCGGTGCGGAAGGCGGTTGTTCTGCGTGCTTTTGCGGACAAGGGTTTCCCGAACTGTCATGGGTGCATCGATTGCACCCATATCTACGACAAGCCGGCGAACGCGGCTCCAAAAGACTACTACGACCGCAAGAGACGATTCTATGTCGTCGCTCAAGTTGTGGTGGATTTGGACTTGCGCGTCCTCGATGTGTTCGTGGGTTATCCGGGGAGCTGCCACGACGTCAGGGTCATCCATCTGTCTAGTCTTTGGTCACGTGCGGTGGCGGGCGAGTTGTTCACATGGCCTCCTGTGTTGCTGCCGTTCCAAGTGCAGACCAATGGTTATCTGTTGGCCGACAATAGTTACCCGCCGAGCAAATGGATGGTTGTCCCCTATGGCGGCACGACGCAGACTCCGTTCAAGGCCCGTTTCGACAACAAACAGAAGACGGCGAGGGGGGCAGTGGAGAGGGCCTTCGGGAGACTGAAGGAAATGTGGCGGTTGTTCTTTGGGTCGCACAAGACAAACATGGAGACCTTGCCGCAGCAGTTCGTGGTCGTCTGCATCTTGCACAACATCCTAATCGACGTCGGGATCCCTTTCGATGAGAACTTGCTGTGGGAGGTGGACGCTAATGGAGTTCGCCGTCGAGTGGATCATGGGATCCAGCGCCCCCCCCGGCCTTTGCGCATGGAAACTTCTACAGGGGAAGCAGTCATGCTGCGTGAAGCGCTGGCGGAGCGAATGATGCAGCGATGAGAGATGTCGGCGGTGCGGAGCAGAAGTAGATGTAAGTTGCGTACGTGGAAGGGCGTTTGACGGCGGCATTAGAAGGAAGCAGCGTGCGGAGAGACGAAGGAGACAGTAGATCGTGTGATGCCGTCGAAGTCATCGTCGCCATTGTCGGACGAAGACCGGAGAATGTCTGTGTAGTCTAGTACTCCCCCTCCGGTGTGTCCTCCACATTTTGATTGTTGACGAGCGATTTTTCTTTTTGTTTTCTTTCGATTTGTGCTTTCACATTGATGCGTTGATAGTGCTTTATCCCTTGTTTATGCGCAAACTGTTCTCTGTGAACCGCATGGATGCGGGATTCGGGTCTGTGGTGTGCGACAGACGCATGCATGCGTCCGGGTTCCTTTTCCCCGATTTCCAAAGCGCAGTACTATGCACAGTGTACTTTTTATTTGTTTACAAGGGTTTGATGATTATTGTTTTATGTTCGCCGAGTTTTATTGCTTGTCGTGGACTATTTTCTTCCCTCTCATGTGCCCTGCGTGCCGAGATGAGGGCGCACTTACGTGCGTGATGATGTGAATGAGTGCAAGCCATTGATGATAGCATTCATTTGACTTCACATATGTCCATGGTCCAAATGTTGGAGTGCATATTTTGTGTTGCCAATCATTCGTCTTCATCTTCGTAAAAGTGTTGTAAATGCTTGAACGATGAGTGCGCGACAAAGAAGGTCACTGACCGAAAACGTCAATCTCTCACGCAGAATTCATTCACCTTATCACCCACAACTTTACATGGAAGCTTTGTAATCGGAAAGAACAAACATAAGAAAACACGTCTGCGATATAAAATGAACGTTAGCCATAGCACACGATATCAAATTAGCATCAATGATGCGCATAGACATGATGGACGTTAATGACACCGCACATTCGACGATGAGTGGCCCCTTGAATGAAAAGACGTGCATGTCGACTACACTTTGCTGTCAGCTAGATGAAACCGAGCTCTACCCGTACTCGGCAACCACTTTAACAACAGGAAATGACTCAACGCAAAGGAAGTATAAGACAGTCTACGAAACTCACGCAACCGCTATTCACACGCCGTGCCAACTCCTGTCCCCAACATCGTCGACAACATCGTCGTCGTCGCCACCGTCGTCGTCATCACCATCAGCACCTTAGTCATCATCATCGTCATCATCATCATCCTCTTTAATCTTGAACATCGTCATCATCATCTTCATCATCATCATCATCGTCATCATCACCATCATCATCATCACCATCATCATCATCACCATCATCATCGTCACCATCATCATCACGATCGTCAACATCACGATCGTCAGCATCATCATGAACGTCGAATTCATCATCATCGTTGTTGCCATCGTCATCATCATCGTTGTCGCCATCGTCATCATCATCGTCACCGTTATCATCATCATCATCAACGTCCTCATTGTCGACATCATCGTCGTCATCAGCAGCAACGGCGGGTGGCTTCCCCATTTTCTCCGTAGTCGTCCACAGCGCCTGCCGTCATGATTCCCCGCCTTCGTCCTTCTCCTCGTCTTCATCATCAATCTCCGGAGGTCCGGTGCCTAACCAATCTAGTCGTCTGGCGAGCTCAGGAGATGTCAACGTGGCGTCGTTGTGGAGCGACACCCCACACGAAACCAAGTCGGGGATGTACACCGGAGGGTCGACCAACGTCATGGGGGGCTTCCCCATTTTCTCCGTTACTGCATTGACACACTGCAGAACATGGCCGCGCGCGTCGAACGAGCGATGCAGCGACGCAATGAGCGTCGGTTTCGCAATGAGCTCCACGAGATGGGACGCCTCATAATGCAAACGAAGATTATCTCCTGTCATCCGCATGATCCACATGGCGGCAGACAGCAAAAGCCGCATGCAGTCTGCTACGTTCCTCAGCCTCTCGTATGATATCCGCCCGCCGTCTACCCCCTCCCCCGTGTCAACAACATTCGTGAAAGCTCCCACCAGACGCTGCGTTGTGGACTTCTGATACGACGCCATTTCGTCGTCCTCGTGCCTGTCGTGTATGACGCCACCTACGTACCAGATGGGGAGCTTCATATGAAGCTCCAAGGTGTTATGGACGACCGCCGAACTCAAACATACCCGCCATTCCTCTCCAAACCAGATGGAGCGGGCGAGGTCTGTGGCGACGTGGTTCAGCACATAGCCGTACGAGCAGTGGTACCCGCGCGCGCGATTGGGGGACTTGAAGATCCACCCATGGATGATGCACAACGCTATGGTCTGCACCCTCGAAGCCCTCTCCTTCGCGGCCCCCAACTCCGACGAGTCTTCCAGTTTCTGCTGAGGGATCGTGGTGTTCGGGAGGACAACGCTTTTTCTGATCTCCGGCGGTTTCACACCCTTCGCGATGGCGATGAGGTGCAGGCGCGTCTCCTGGATAAGCTTGAACATCGCATGCCCCTCCGTCTCGTTCCAGAAACACAGATCGTCCACCCACAATTTCGCTTTCGCCTCCAGAGCCGCCATGTTTCCGGATCGCCTCTGCCTGTTAATGAGGGGATCGTCGTCATCAGCAGTATCACGACCGTCGCCACCGCCCTCCCCTGTGCCTTTCGTCGATGTTCCAACGACAGCTCCCACCGCTGCGGCTTACTTGTGGGAATGCGCATCGCAAGTTGTCCCCTGACTGTCGCATTCACTCCCGCCCCTTCATCCCTTCTCGCCTGTCCCGCCGTGGGCGTCGCTAGGTTTGAAGGCGCCCGCATTGGCGGGTGTTTACCGACGTCCTAGGGGGCCTGCACGTCCTTCGATGTCACGGCGCCGCGCATGGCAGGGGTTGTCGGCTGGCCACGCTCCTCCCTGGCAGCAACACCGCCTCCCACGCCGCCGGCCGCCTCACCCTTGCCTCGCGCAACCCGGTGACCCCCATCTTTACCACCGTCGACGCCTTCCTCTCCGCTCACCATTCTTGAGTTCGACACTTCACGCAAGGTCCCTTTCCTCCCATAAAATGTGTCCGCCTTCGATTCGAAATCGTCGTCCTGTCCGCTGCTGGCCTCGTTAACCCAGTCTTCCCGCGCGGACCTCCCGATCACCAGAGCACCGCCGCTTAATGCCTTGGCTTCTTCACCTGATACCTCCCCCGCTTCACGACGCCGACAACTTCCGTTTTCTGGGAGTCCCTCTCCCTTTTCCCCTTGCCAGAGTTGTGAGTGTTCGTCATCGCCGAGAAGACAGACAACGATGATGGCGAGGACGAAAAGACGACAACCACACGGATGCCACAACGATGCCCGACCGAACAGGGAGAAAGAGGACCGGTCGAGAAGAAGGAAGGGCGAGGACGATGGCGGCGAGGGAAAGCCTGAGCAGGTGGAGTCTGGTGAGAGAGATGGCGGCGAGACACACAGTGCGCGAACAGGAGTCCCCACGTGAAGATGACGTCTGGCGAGAGCGATGGCGGTGAGACACACACTGCACGAAAAGGAGTCCCAACGTGAAGATGACTTCGGGACTGCGCGATGGCGGCGACAAAGGCAGTCCGCGACGAGGAGTCCGAACGCGAAGATGTCGTCTGTCCACCGCCTGCGTCGACAGGTCATATCATGTTCGTGGCAAATGTTCGTCACGCGCCGACGACAGTGCATAGGTTGGCTACAAGGGTGAACGGAATGGCTAGAGGGACCATTCCATTTGCAACCCCCTTTTCCGACACACGGACGCTGGGTATGCGGCATTCCGCCAATCAGACCCCAAAAAAAAAAAACACCAACACTGCATGTGTCGCCGCCCGGAAAAAAAAACAAATGCAGTGAAGGGACTGGCCGTGTCATAGGAGTGTGATACGCACGCCCAAAAAAAAAAAAACAAAAAAAAAAAGTAAAGGGAAGTCCAACATACAAATTAAATTTCAAACTTCGAAACTTTTTCAAGGGAGATGTTAAATGACGTGACATAAATAGCAACACCATTGATTAAAGAAATGTTCATTCAATACGACACAATAAACGAAATACGTGGTGCCCTGAGACACGTGTTTACTGCAAGGAAAGCAAATATCATACAGTGAAGAGAGCCAAGAAAACGTCCACATCATAACAGCCTACCATATTGCAAATCAAAGTTCTCTCTCTCTCTCTCTCTCTCTCTCTCTCTCTCTCTCTCTCTCTCTCTCTCTCTCTCTCTCTCTTTAACAAACCAATACACAGAGGACAAGGGAACACATACATTGAACAAGTGCATCGTCGGTGACACGAACTGGAAGCCAAATTCAGCAATAGGAGCCAACAATAACAAATTTCCAATTCTCACTCTCTTTCTATGTATCCACTTCGCAAACTGAAAAAATGAATCAAACGGTCGTCCAAGAACCTATACCCGCCAAGTTCATCATCGAAGTGTGGTCGGATCATCCGACCACCTCCCGATTACGAGCACGATACAACTACGGTCGAAGCGATAAACAAATAAGTAAAAAAACAAGGGCAATCCATGCTCCACAATGAACAATGGAATAAATCCACGGAGAAGACGCACAGACCGACAGAAGTACGCGCATGACAGGCAATCTGCCACTTCTCTACAGACACAAATCGAAAAAACAAACCCATGACACGGAATGAACTACGAGTGCGAATGAACTCCATCCGACTTAAGTACACGACACGTGCGTGGCAACAGAGTGACATCCATAGCTGAAAAATGCCCTGTGGCTGACGTTCCCCTCTACCGCTCTCGTATAGCCTTCGCTATTTCCATCAGCGCCTGACACATAAGCTTGCTAACTACGCAGCGCAGTGTTGCTTCTGGACCTCCACCTCCGCTTCGATAGCCTCACACTGCCGAATTTGAATGGAGCATTGCCTCTTGCTCGCTCTCTCCATCGCCTCGCACTGCCTCATGCTTGCGCTCTCCATCGTCGACGCCATCAACGCCCCATGCTTCTCCATGCACTCGCTTAAGGCCTCGAATGTCTGCTGCTGGACGTTTTTCCTCTTACCGAAATCGGCTGGACTTCCTGTCGTCTGTGAGGCCCCACGCGCTGAGTTGTCGTCTTCGTCGTTGCCATCTCCAGCGGCATCCCCGTCACCCCCTGACTCCGGAGTCGCCGACTAAGCAGATCGGAGTTGCACACCTCCTGCGCCACCGGTGTCTGCAACATTGCTCGGGCTGATAGTGTGGCTCCTCTCCTTTACCCCTTTGATCTCCTCGTAGACGGCCCGATCCATGTTGAAGCTGAATCCTTTCTCTGCCCTTTGCTGACTCGTCAACTGGAAGAAGTCCTCCTTCCCCGACATGCCCATGAAAGTGTGGATCTTTTTGAACTGTTGCATGAGATTATNCTCTGCCCTTTGCTGACTCGTCAACTGGAAGAAGTCCTCCTTCCCCGACATGCCCATGAAAGTGTGGATCTTTTTGAACTGTTGCATGAGATTATCCCATTTCTTCCCGCATTTGTCTGCCGGCCTGTCAACACCGACCTTTAGCAATCTTTCCCGGACGTCCAACCATTTCCACTCCCTCGACCGCATCCGTGCGAGTGCGTGCCCCGCCGCTTGCAGTTGGGCGTCCTGATCCCGCTTCGCCCTTATGAGGGCCACCATGTGATCCACAGACCTGAAATTCCGGCCACCCTCCCCATCCCCCTCACCTTCTGCATCAGCAGAGGTCGCCGACGGCCTCTTCCGCCTCCGCCCAGCATTCGTCGAAGCCCTGCCTCTGCCGCCCCTGCCACCCATGTTCAGCGCACGCAACGAGAACACGTCACCGATGTCGGCCTCCTCGGCGTCGCACTCAACTTCGTCACCGTCTGTCCAGACGTCACCCCCCCCGCCAACTGCGTCTGCTTTGCCCGGCCCGCTCGCCCACGCGTAATCGCTGCACACCTTGCGTTATGGACTCTTCTTGCTGCCGCCGCAACTCCTGCCTCGACTCCTTCCATACCCGCCTTCCATCTCCACGCGCGCCCTCGAAAGGGAAGTCTTCCGCACTTACACCCCGTTCAACTAGACGAGGAACGGTGTCGTGGCCCCTGGAGAACGCAGGAGGGGGCTCAGGGCGACCAGCGGTGGTGCGTGGAATTGACGGGCCAGAAGTCGCCTGCACTCGAGGCCGCTCCCTCGTCTTCTCGGACGTCTCCTGACGCGGGATGAGGGTTCACGAGCACAGTGCGCGTGGCAGAAGATGGGCTCCCGCTCCGCAGGCCAAATGTGAGATCCACAGGGGGGAGGCGTTCCTCTTCCTGGGCACCTTCGTGGAGGAGGGAAGTGAACGACTGCCTGTACTTCACTCCGTGCCCATCAAACAACTGGCTACCCGTCCATTCCTGGGTTGACCCGTTACCCAGTGGAACTGTGTTGGACATGTCCACGTCCGCCTCCCCCTCGTCCGAATCGGGCAGAGGCTGCATGTGAGGCGGGAGTCCTTCGTACGTCGACGAACCTGCCACCCTTCTGTCTACACCGGTGCAGATCGCAGGCCGGTGGCTGGGATAAGTGTCGGACAACGTGGCAACATTCGGCCGCCGCCCGTCCATGGCCACGATCTTCCTCACCCCTCGTTTCCTGTGAGTACGTGAAGGCAACCTCCCCAATATGCACACCTGAACAAAGACAACAACTACAAGCAGAATCACCACGAGGAGGACCAGCGGCAGCTTGCGGAGCACGTCGGCCATGTAACACAACCGTTCTCGCAAGGGCAACTAACGACGACAACGCACGACAACGTAACGTCTACCCAGACGGCGGCAAACAGCAGACGACAACCGACTGCCGACGCCCTCTGCCGCTTTACATTGTGGACCACTGCGCGCGGTGACGGACGTACGCCGCTGTCATTTTCAAAACGGCTGGCCGTTGTAGGCCTTCCTGTTTCCCGCCGCCGCTGGTGAGGGGCCGGGATAAACCAGCAAAGGCCATGGACCCCGTCCGCCACCCAACCTTACCGTTGCGGTCGTTCCCGCCGGAGTCGAACATTGCCGGCCGCTAATGTCCGCCCGCACCTCGGCTGGACCAGCAATGTACCAGACTACAAAATTCTGACGTCGTCGAAGAGCGCCACCGCCGTCCCAAATTTCGCGGAAACTCCCACTCCGAGGGACCTCGCGAGGTACCTTGGGGAGCATAGCCAAATGCCTGTAGCCCAAGGACGGCCCGAGGACGCCCCGAGGAAATGTTTTCACATCGGTTTCCAAGGAACTCTCTCCGAGGACAGATGGAACGATCATTTCCTCGGGATTTTTTAGCACCCGAGGAGTGTCTAACGAGCCCCTTGGTCACAGCAATCGTCGGGTAGAGCTTCTATCCCAACAGCACAGTGAAGCAATGAATGGACTCTGGCTTCATTGGGCTTTGGCGGGTGGCATGAATCTGTAGACGTTTTCTGGGGGAGGGGGCGGAGGTGGGAAGGGCACAACGGGTGAGGACAGGTGAGGGTGCATGAATCAAACATCACCGTTCTTTTTCTTTTTTTTTTTCATTTTAACTACTTTTCTTTTCTTTTTTTTCTTTTTTTTTTCTTTTTTTTTTTTTTGAAACCCAGGGTGTTGTAGAGGCCGGTTACTAGGCACAAATTGATCGCCAGGAGCGGTCAGCCATGGTTGTCGTGAGGGAATGAGGCTACCTTCCCATCCCATCCTCACGTCAATACTCCTAGCGCACCGCCTATCTCTACTATCCTACCTCAGTGTGACCAGCACTCAGGAGTCAGGACCATTGCCCTGTCGAGGGGAACTAGGACCGAACAGCAGTGACAGGCACCAGGGCTAGCCATGACCCAGCCCTGGTGGAAGCGGAATCGAACGAGCCTCATCACACGGGAACTTCGGACGCCAGGCCCAAGCAATCTCCTACTAGCCCCTAAATTGACCAACTGGTAACTCATGCCCTCTACTCGCCCACCACAGTCCTAGTTGATTTTAAGGCAGGGTACTTGTTCCCGAAACGCCTATCATCATCGTCAGTTAATCCAGACCAACCATTGACTCAGGCCCTCTACTCGCCCCCACAGCCCTAGTCTGCCACACACAGTCTAGCTGATATTAAGGGCGGTACTTATCCTCGACACGCCTATCATCATCATTAGTTGATCCAGACCAACCAGCGACTCACGCCCTCTACTCACCCACCACAGACCTAGCTGATATTAAGGGGGATACTTATCATCGAACGCCTATCATCATGATCAATCATCATTATCAGTTGATCGTGACCTTCTCCCAGCCCTATGGTTGTGAATGTGTATATGTACTCTGTATCTTAGATGTGTGCCCGTGGGCTATGTGTATGTTCGTTATGTGTATGTGGACCCAATTCCATAGCAGACGCTGCTCCCCACCATGGAGCATCTGCAAGGTGAGTGTATAGTATGTGTGTATGGTATGTATCGTAGTTGTGCTATCTGGGGTGGTATCTCTGTGTGTGGATGTATGTGGTAGAGACAGGCCTATCTGGAGTCCGAAACCGGACTCGGACCTGTGACCTACAGTATGAAACTGGAGGGTTCTACCACATGTACTTCCATAGGAAGTGGATATAATGTGTGTAATGTCTGGGCTTGGGGAGATCATCAGAGCGACCAAAGCCAACAACAACCAGCAACCAACATGAAGTCTAGGCCAGCATACAACACCCATGGACTGACCCCCGGGTGGTGCGCAGGCAGTGTCTGTAATAGTACCATGCGTCAGCCCAGGGGTGTGTGTGTCCAGCCGTGCGTCATTCTAACGCCCTGCTGGTGTCCATGCGCAAGGCTGTGGAGTTTTGAACCTGCTACCTCATACCACAATGCGCGTTTCCAACGGGTGCTCGAACCACTGAGCTACATCAACTACTTTTCTTCATTTCCTGGTGGTGTCGCACCCGTCGCAGTAGGCCATCACTCGTATGCTAGTAGAACAGTGCCCCAGAGGAGACTGCAAAATCCCATGCCCCACAGCTTCCCAGGCTGCTCACAAATGGTTACAGGAATAATGCAATTGGGGATTGGGGAACTATATGTGTTCCGCAAAAGGCCTTTTTTTTCAATTTTTTTGTGATTTTGGGAATATGGGTCGCAGTGTGAGTATGACCTCAGTTGGTACACCCCTAAACTGTTGAGCTACAGGCTGGAAACTCTACTGAAAAGAAAGGAGTAAAATACTTTCAGTTCTGAGTTACCTAGCGACGCTGGGTTCGTTCATGAGATCTCAAGGCCGTCACCCTATTTTTTTTCTCTTAAACCACAACTACCTTTCCCCACTTGAAAATCAAATACGCGCCGGTATATTTGGGAGCAGGTTCATTAAACCACAGGTCCCCCCGCCACCGAAAACCCTCGGACGACCTCTAGTGCGCGGTCGCTGTTTTTTGGTTGAACGACCGGTTTTTCACGGCCTACCGAGTCCCATCCCGACATCCCGTTTTCAATGTGGGACCCGGTAGGCCTGGTGGTAAGGAAAGTCGCCGTTGCAGCACGATGTCCGTGTTCACGGATCCGGACCGAAATGGCTGGTGGCGCCAAGTTGCCAACCAAAGTGAGGCCCGCACCAGTTTATTTTGTTTTGGTGCACCGGGCGATTTCAGGCTTGGCATCGATAGCTGAGAAAATAAATTCTCCGTCTTAGTGTTAGCTGGCCCCTGGCCGGCGGTCCCAGCCTACTCCCTGACCACTGCCTTTAGGTCAGGTGGCAACATGACAACCCTTCATTGAAAGGTAGCTATGCTTGTAGGGTCTCCTGTATATCCTTACGAAAAGCAGCAGGCAGGTACTGAAAGGTGAAAAAAATCAATTTGGGAGAGAAGAATATAGCTTATTGACCATAGTTCAAAAAAAAAGAGGAAAAACAGAAAAAGGCTTTGATTGACATCACATGCCTTGAGGGTGAATGGTGCACACATCCAACTGCCAATCAACTAATTGGACACGAAGGCCCCTTGCCACCAATTGGCCTATCTCAGTTAGTACACCAATGACCTGTTGAAATATACACCTGAGTTCAAATCCAGATGCTAAGAAAAGTCAGAATAAAATCAATCTGATTTTTCTGAGTTACCTGAGGGCCGTACATGAGCACGTTTTTTGCCTCTCCCCAATGTTTGTCGTGGAGTTCGTCG